GGACTAGCATATGTTCATTGACCGGGATAAAAAGCAGCCTATATCTATTTCCATCCTGTACCATCATCATGCCTGCCACAAGGAACGGCCTCAGACACCCGCATCTATTGTCTCCCTGTAACGCATTTGAGATCGTCACTCCATTTTGTGGGTAGTCCCTTACATTGCGTTTGCCCATACGGAGTCGCCAATCAAGAACCTTTCTTTTCCATCGGTTGTCGGTTCTTCGAGCTATGTGACCAGTCTGTTGCCACTTCAGCTTGCTTATCCTTTGAGATATGTTGGTTACTTTGATACTTTTGCTTTGATACTTTACTTTTTGATGGATATCTTCGTTTCGGGTTCACACCTTTCGTGATTTCCACTCAGGAACCTTTCTTGACCCTTTTTCATCCTGTATAGTCCATATATATCAAATTTCATAGTAATTATTTAAATCGTTAAGGCGCCAGAAAGTAACAAACAAACAAATTCATTTTCATATTTACAATATGAGTGAGAATTTAAAACCAGCTTCTTTTAGGATTTTTCCTGATTCATAAATCCATATATAAAAGGTTTTATATACGGTCTAATAATCATTTTAATGGATAATGATAATGATAATTCTTTATTTAATAACAATTTACACCTAGTTACATCTACTAGCCACCGAACTAGGCTGAGCCTGTATCTCAGTGGTTAGTAAAAAATTTTACAATTATATTCTTTAATTTTATTCTTAACTAGTATTTACCGGCGACATCGTTCGTGTCACTGGTACGTTTGAGATTAAAAATAACTTATTTCCTTCTCCATCCCAAATAGTAGGTATATACTAAATTTCATAACGATTAGTTAAGTCATTAATACGCCAAGGAATAACAAACAAACATTTACATTTACAATATTAGTAAGGACATATGTGTAAGAGTCAAATCGCTTGCGGCTCTACACTTGCACCACCGCTTTACGTTGTAATGAAATCAACATGCTCGTTGAATCGGTTAAGACCAGTGAATAATCATCTTTATAGAGTGTTTTAAAAAATAATATCTAAGATACATATATAGATAGTTGTGTACCCAGCTTTGTCCACATAATTGTATGAAATTGATTCTGAGGTACCATTATTATTAATACTGAGAGACGGGCTTTTTAAGACAGAAAAATCTGTGACACTGCGACCTCTTCATAATTTTTGGAACTCGCCCTTTTTAAAGTTCGCTGCTAATTCCTATTAATAATAGGAATTTTAAGATGTTTTTTGTAGCGATGTTTTTATCTACTCAGGATATAGAGTGTGTTTTCCAAAGAAGATATATCGTTTATGTACGAATGGGCTACAGCCACAAATTAAGCGCTGCGGCGTTTCTTCCTCATTGTGACAAAATCTGCAAACACTTTTTGGGCTGCCCTTCCTTCCACTGTAAGTTCCCTTTGTCATCTCTTACGATATCCACGCGATAAAGAAACGGTGGCCCATTCTATGCCTGGACCGATATGGCGAAAAAAATAAATTTTATTAAAATCAGTTGATTCAAATATTTGGCTGTATTTAAGACTAAAAGAATATTAGAGTTTTTACGTTTCACACGATATTTTTTCCAATTTTTCATTTTATTTATTAAAAAATCTTCCTCGGACTTGTTTGAAAACAAAATTAGTCCAATTAGGCCAGTCGTCCCCGAGTATTGCGCTCAGTGACACATCCAGTAATTCATTTTTATGTGTCGCTTCCGTATACAATTTTGTCACGTTTGATTACTGTTTTGTTTTACAGAGCAAAATTTTGCCTGTCACATTTTTATGTGACAACGTTGTTGTCTCTTTCTATCTCATACATATGGCAAATATAACAGATCATTGTCATATCAGCTATAAGAGGGTTCTACCAGTAGTTGCCATGCTTGGCATGCGGATTGGTAACCGCAGTCAGTTCTTTAGTGATGTTTTAAGAGGGACGCTGCTGCCCATCCCTAGACCATCAAGTTCTCTTAGTTGCCTTTTCCACCAACGTGAACAGTAGGTTCGTCCCATTCTATGCCAGGACCATACGGCAAAAGTATGACGAATATATATCGATCAATTCTTTCACCTGTCTCTTCTAGGAGGGCTGCTACGGTTGTTCGTAGCGTCGTAGCACACGCTACGCAAAGCTCTACACATAAACTGTGCTACGGCAATACTGACAAAAAAATTAGACATTGTCTTTGTCCTTAGCCATTTATCCAATAATAATTATAAAACCTATACAGATGAGGGACTTTTGTCTTCGAACAAATTGTCCCTTCATGTTTTCCTCGCCTTCTCAAGTTTTCTGTGATTAGCCATTTGCTATTATAGCCATATGAGTACACGATTTTTTTTATGGACTGGTAACCCATTATGGAATGATATACTCACCTAATATTCATGCTAAGGAGCAAAGAGATTGTTAGTAATGGTGTTTAACTGCCTCATTGCTAGCATTACACCCTCAGGTCGACTTCCACGTGGTTCCCCCTGAAAAACATCGTGGTTTATTATTGGTGAGTTTATCATGATCAGTTACTGGTTCCCCGCTAAAGTATACCGGTAGCACAAACGGAGCTACCATTACATTATAATTTATTGAAAAAAAAATAGAAGAAAAGCTTAATAAAGAGAATAGAACAAAGTGTCAATATTCCAACTATTGTTGGAATGACAATTGACAAATTAGGCACATTTGCCTAATTTGTCAAAAAATAAATATATATACTGAATAGTTCAGTCCACGGGCCGCAGGAAAAGAGATCTAAGTTAATATTCGATAAAAACCGGACGGAAGCTCGACCTAAAATGGTATGATAAATGGACTAGCGGCGTCTACCAAAATAGCCGCGCCATATTGGACATCTATCGCGAAAAAGATAAACATTTTAGAGGCCTCCACTCTGTACTGAATTTTTTATACATTGATATAGGAACTATATCTAGATTTCTGTCTATCATGACGAGGTTAGAATACTACATATATATCCTTGCTTTTATTATAAAAAACTTGAACAGTTACGTGTGTATTTTCAATCATCAGAGGTGTTGGTTACAGTAACAGTTCAAAGGTCATTTAAAAATGCCCAACTCACCTAAAGAAATTTTAATAAAGTTAGCTTCAGAATAGAACAGAAGTATTTATTCGACATTTAACATAGGAATACCAGAGGGAGACTTTGTACAAAAGTCGATTGCTTGGGTGCCTCTGTCCCATTCGTGTATCTACCGTGAAGTAGTTGTGTTTGCATGGCTGTGTTTCGGTTTGAAGGGTGGGATATGGCGTGAATTTACAGGGTACAGAAGAATAACACCTGAATCCTCAGGAATGGCAACGCATGTAGGTATCATGGGCGAAACGGTATATATATATATATATGTCTATGGTACTGCTCATGTTTATAGACGACGGTTACCACTTTTCATCAGGTGGGCCGTCAGCTTGTTTGCAATTCTAAGTCGTATAAAAAAATACAAAATAGAAAAATACTTATAAACCATTTAACATTACAAATAAATATATATATATATATATATATATATATATATATATATATATATATATATATATATATATATATATTTGTAATAAAATGTATATGTACTTCAGTGAATACCGAATGGGACTCAAGATATGCTGTTGTATTTAACAATTTCAATTATATTAATAATACTATGGTCCTATCTACGTGAAGTATATTAGGTATTCTATGCATTAATAGTCCAAAATCCCGCTGCTGACTTCCACAGATAAATGACATTTGAGGAGGGTTGCCAGTAACTAATTCTGATTTTTACCCAAATGTTTAATATTTTTTTCTCCACATCGATACGAATTCCGAAACCAATCGGTTTCGTTTGTAATCAGACAAACGATAATTGTTTTTCATTACGTTTAGTTACGTGTACACACACTTTATGACGAAAAAAAGATAATTACTTCTGTTTCTATTTTTCCCTTTCTTTCTATTTTCTATTTTCAAAATCATATTTTTCTTAATTACGAGTATATTTTTTTTTACAACACAGGGGGCAAACGAGCATGCGGCTCACCTGATGGTAAGTGACTATCGCCGCCCATGATCACCCACAACACCAGCGGCATTGCAGGTGTGCTGCCGGCCTTTTAAAAAGGAATATACTCTTTTCTTAAAGGTTATGTTGTCATATCGGTTCGGAAATACTGTTGCTGAAAGTTGATTCCAAAGAATGGTTGTGCGGGGAAGAAAGTGCCTTGAAAAACGCACGGTGGAAGACCGCCACTCGTCCAGATGATTGGGATGAAACTCATATACTTAGTTAGTGTGCTTAAGTGCCAAAACTATTACCCAAAATTTCCGAGAAAATTACACAAATCTCTCTTACTTTTCTCCAAAAATTTTTCCATGATTTTGGAAACGGAAAACTTTTTACCCAAAATTGCGAAAAATATACCCAATCTGGCAACACTGCTTTTGAGTTAAACTCTGTTTTAATGTAACTATATAACTTGATAATTTTTTGTATTACAATTTTTTAACGTGTTTCGACTCTCGTTACATTGACAATAAGATTCAATTTTACTGGTAGAATACATCTTTAAAAGATGACAATTATTCTGATTTCATTATGTATATTATAAAATTTTGTAGGTAATATGGCGTTATTTTTTACGTGAAAGTTATTAGAACAATTTTCGTACAAAAAATTAGCAAACTGCTTAATAAAGAACATTCCCCGTAAATTCCTTCAACTTGAATGTGCTAATATTATGAATTCCAAGGAAGAAAATTTGAAAATAATGACTTCCTGATTAGAGTTCTATTTTTAAATTTGATAAAATTGTGTTGTTGTTTGAAAGAGAACCTTATTGCTTAATAAAACAAGTCGATATTTGTTTTAGAAATTTTTGAGAAACGTATTGTTTTTATGTTGAGTATTGTCAGTTTAGTATGATAATGTGAGATGAGATGAGATTAGCTGAGATGAGCTGAGATAAGGTATTATTGACATTGTCGTTGTTTCAGGGCGGTGCGGGGAGGGCAGCCCGTGCGAGCAGTTGTGTCGCGAACTCCACGACGGCACGTACGAGTGCGGCTGCGGGCCCGGATATGTATTACACGTGGACGGATACGGCTGTCTAGGTACGTATATATATGCGTATAAACTAGCTTTTACATGCGACTTTGTTTGCGTAATCTAAATATTTTGACTGATCTAGATTAGATATAACCTTTATCCTTCTCCGTCCCATATAGTATGTGTATACCAAATTTAATAGCGATTAGTTAAGCCGTTAAAGTTTTATAAGTTACAAAATTCTATAAGTATGTAGATATAAAGTCCTATAACAATGTTTTTTTTTTTAAATAGTACTGTTGTCAACAGAACTGAATGCAACCAAAGCGACCGACATAACGGACATAGAAGAAGATGTCCTATACCAGAAAGACGTGTCCTTCTCCGCTGAATTAGAAATACCCCCGTCCAATAGTAATAAGCCTATTGTAAGTGATAAACATATCGATGCAAAACAAAGACTTACAACCGCACTGCCGACGAGAAAAGAGAACTACACGCACACAGGCGAGAGGTACAAAGAAGCAGACGGTCTGAAGAGTCTGATAGAAGACGGAGTTAGCAATGTGGACCTCAATATTATTGCCGATGATAAAAGGAACGGTCTGTTGGAAGCGAGTGAAGTGAAAGTGACGACGCTAGGGCCCAGTTTAGAGCAAAAAGTAAGTATAAAGTGAATATTTTACCAGAGGGAGACTTTGTACAAAAGTCGATTGCTTGGATACCTCTGTCCCATTTGTGTTTCTACCGTGAAGCAGTTGTGTTTGCATAGCTGTGTTTCGGTTTGAAGGGTGGAATCGGCGTGAATTTACTGGGTACAGAGGAATACCACCTGAGTCCTCAGAAATGGCAACACATGGGGTGTATCATGGGCGAAACAGTATACTCTGTTATGTCCATGGTACTGCTCATGTCTATAGGCGACGGTTACCACTTTCCATCAGGTGGGCCGTCAGCTTGTTTGCCATTCTAAGTTGTAAAATTTTGCGCCCATAGTAAAACGTCGAATTGACTTAAAAAAATGTTACTGATCTAAGTGTCATTTTGCGGAAGTTATATATCACTGGTTTATTAGAATTATTTTTTATAATGCTGCTACCATTAGTATGCATTCGACTGCAACTTTCGCAGTCTCTATAAATTTGTCTAAACATGTCTCGTTAGAGATAAAACACGTGTTGCAAAATGTGCGTGGACTGAGTAGCTGTCGGAAATTGATAATTAATTAATAAGTAATAGTAGTCAATCTTTAAATGTTGGCTGTTGGATTGACAACCGCAGTTAGGCTTTGGTGGTGTTTTAAGAGGGACGCTGCTGCTCATCTATCGACCATTCAGTTCCCTTAATCACCTCTTACGTGACACTCATGAGAAAGGAAGAGATGATCCATCTACGCTGGAACCAGGAAAGATGCATGAGATAGAAGGACATTGAAACATGAAAACATGAAAAACTAGATTCAACTACATGTTTTTTTTTATATTTAATTATATTCTAGTTGTCTTATTATAGTACATGTATTTATATATATATATATATATATATATATATATATATATATATATATATAAAAATACATGTACTATAGTGTCGTAAGAGCCGACTAAGGGAGCGCAAGGGATGGATAGCAGCGTCCCTCTTAAAACATCTCTAAAGCCTGACTGCGGTTACCAATCTGCCTGCTAAACGTGGCAACTACTGGCAAAACCCCCCAAAGGGGAGCCTTATATTCAGCAGTGTACAGTTATAGGCTGATATGATGATGATTGTTTTTAAATTTCTTCTGCATCAGTCTTTTATAAAATGTCTTGTGTTTTTTTTTTCACTAAATTGTATGTTTTATATTAAAAATACATATAAGTTTTATTACTGCATTCTACTGTTTACATCAGGTTATGGGCCCAGGACGCTTCCACTGCCCTCTTATTCCTGAATGTTGACTAGAACAATTTATATATAGGTATAATTTAAACGCTAACCTTGCATTTACACGAGAAAGTAATAACAAGCAAAATTTTCCCGATTCGTGACAAATTGTCCGCTTCTTTAATAAAATGAAGTAATGAACGTGGATCTCCCTCAGATTACTTCGGGCGAAGTAAGTTGACAGTTTTATTCTTCCGATAGTTGGTGGAAAGTTTGTCCATAACTTCGGTGTTCGGAGTTATATCTTAATCATTTCTTAACTTTGGTTGTATCATTAACTACAGTTGACTTTTCTATATAAAAATAGTTGCGAAATTATTTTATTTGAAATTAATTTATCTATTATTGTTCCTATTTAATTTTTGTGTTAATAAAATTAATTGTGTTTTTGAAAATTTTTAACAAATAATTATTTTTACTACCATTCCATACCATCTTAGCCGTTAACTGTCCACTGCTGAACATAGGCTTCCCTCTACTGGAGGGTCTTGCTAATAGTTGCCACGTGGCAGGCGGATTGGTAACCGCTGTTAGGCGTTGGAGATATTTTAAGAGGAACGCTGCTACCCATCTCTGGACCATTAAGTTTTCTAAGTCGCTTCTTAAGACTCCCACGGGAAAGGAAGGGGTGGCATATTCTATGCCGGAACTACACAACAATCATTTCTTTACCATACAAGATATGTTAAGATCTAATCATCTAAGTTAGTTATAATATAGTTATTCATAAGTTGATATTACATTTTTGTTTATTTGGTCGACTCACTTTAAGTTACATATAAATATGTTCACGTACCTATACTTTGTTGTCCAATACATTGGTTAAGAGAGGTATAATGTTTTTTTAGGTGCCAGGAGCGACTGCGTCACCCGCGTGGACGGCTGCGGTCGATAACTGCGACTGTGATTGTGATGGACGCTGTGCCTGCCCCCTAGCGGCCACTAAGTGTAAACCAGGTAAGCCACAGATTATAATTTGTATAACTTTTTGGTTTTATACCAAAAAGTTTTATACAAAGTAGAGATTACACTATGTTGAGGCTGAGCTCTTCTTAAGTTGACGTCCGTTTTGAAATTAACAAGTCTTTAAACATGATTGTGATTGTGAGGAACGCTAGATCCGTCCCCTAGCGACCACTATGTGTACATCAGGTAGGTAGATTATAATTATAGTGACTAAAAAGTTTTAAACTAACTGGGGATGGGTCTGTCGAGGGTTTTACCTAATGCTCTTACTTGGGGAAAGGGATTCTTAGTAATGGGATCTAATTGACTCATTGCTAGCAATACACTCTATCAGGTCGAAGGGAAACCATCGTGGTTTTTTTATGGGTGAAAATGGAATGGTAACTCCGCCTGCGCTAACGGGATACGCTGGCGGAGTACCAGTGAAGGGTGATAGATGAGAATGAAAACAGGCCAGTTAGCCCATCATGATGAATTCATCAGGAATTAACCATGATAGTTTCCAAGGGGAACCGTGAGGAGGTCGACCTGGTTGGGTATATTGCTAGCAATGGGATTCTCAGTCTCCATTACTAACAATCCCTTTCCCCTCAACCATCGTGGTTAATTTTAGTGAAATTCGTCACGATGGGCCAACTGACCTGCTTTCAACCTCACCTATCACCACTTACTGGTGCTCCGCCAGCATATACAGATGGCACAGGCGGGGTTACTAACATATTCCATTATCCACAAAAATGCATTTACTTTTAGTCCATAGCTTAGCACAGTGACTTAGTGGGTGTCACCGTGTATTCTGTGATGTCCATGGTACTCCTCATGCTCATGTCTATAGGCGATGGTTACCACTTTATATCAGGTGAGCCGTGAACTGGATTGCTATTAAGTTTAGCTTCGGCAACACGCATGTGACATAGTGTTTCAGGCGTCCATATGCTACAGTGATCGTTTACCATCAGATAGGCTGTATGTTTTTCTACCTTTGTAGTATAAAACAAGTCGCTTTTTGCGCACTAAAATCTGTTAGTAAAAAAGTGAATTTACGCAATAGACGCTCTTTCACAATCATTCTAAAAATCAAAGGGAACCAAACAAAAAGGTATCATTGTTCGAGTTAATACCCTTTTAGCAGGATCTCGATATTTCGGGAGTCCCTAACTTCCCTCAAAGTATCGTTGGACGTCGGAAACTCGGGGAGAATTAACTTTAAATCTCTTAGAGATAATAGCGGCTGGCCAATCGCGTCTGAATTATTGTTGGGTACACTGGCAAGACGGTAGATTGTAATTCCATTAATTTCATGGAATAATAGAAATCATTCCTGGTTCTCATTTGGGAAATATTGATTTTTAAACGGAATTGAAGGAGCGTTGTTTTTTTTAAAGGACGAAATTTTTAATTACTCATCTGTATTTTTTGTAACCTATTTTGATTGTTATTTTTATAACCAACTAGATTCTATTCGTGACCTCGTCTGCTTGACCCTTGTAACTGGAATAAGAAGTAGTCTATAACTTTCTCCATCTCATAAAGTAAAGATAGGGTTTATTCTCTTGTTGTTATGTTAATTTGGTAACGGTTGATTGTTACGAAGGAATCTTGTAGAGACGGTTTTTCATTCTAAATTCAAACATATTTTTTTTTTATCTTTTTAATATTTTTAATAGTCACAATTTTTCGAATCTTTATCAGAGGATATTTTTGCTATGGTCGAGTTTTGATTTTCGGCCATTTTATTTGATTTAGACAATGGATGAATATAGAATAAAAAATAAAAAGATAATGGAAGGTAGCAGAAATAATCATGTAATTAGAATTATGTATTTTAATTCTACTGTTGTTTATATGCATGTCCTCTACTACCTCTACGACCTTTTCCATTAGTCATTAATCTCTGACCCTTATTCAGTCTACGCACATGTTGCGACACGTGTTTTATCTTTAAACGAGGCCTCATCAGGCAATTAATCGATTAAATGTGGAATAGTAATCTCTACTTTCATATCTACTAATGTTTTTTTTTTTCTTTTCCTTTTTGTTTTTTCTTCAATATTTTTGTAATTAAGTGTGAAATTAGTATTTCAATCAAAATAAATAAAATGATATCTAAATATATTCTCTAAATTTAAACGCAAATTTAAAAAAATATCAAGCAAATTATGAAAATTTTATATAATGAATATAATATTGGATACATTAACTAACGTTCCCAATAACCGGAAGTGGTGCGGCCGCCATTATGGGCCGTTTCCCGGGGCCAAACTTCCGGTAACTTTTCCACAATTGTTATTGAGTTGCTCGGAATATTGATAGAATTATATTAGATTTCACCTAAAATGGATTATACAACGATATGAAATTAATTATTTACAAATAGTAAAGTTCCGTGTAATGTGACCTTATTATTAATTATTTTAGAATTGAAATTTGTATACATTCTCGTATTTTAGTAAGATTTTATTATATATATTATAAGTTAGATGAGTGGCGGTCCTCTACCGTGCGGTTTTTAAGGTACTTTCTTCGATGCACAATTACTTTAAATTGAACTTCCAACAGCAGTATTTCTGAATCGATACGACATCATTACCTTCAAGAAAAAAGAATATTCCTATTTAAAATGCCAGCAGCACACCTTTTTTTTACAACACAGGGGGCAAACGAGCATGCGGCTCACCTGATGGTAAGTGACTACCGCCGCCCATGATCACCCACAACATATAGGGATGGTTTTTAGCAGCACTTACCATTACGTGAGTCACATGTTCGTCTGCCCCCTGTGTTATTATATATATATAGATTATAATCAAAATATTATAATTTAAATTCAAAAGTCAGAAGTTTAGCAGTGAAGTTTGTTGATTTTTTATTAATTGAAAAAATTAAGTTAATAGTAGTGATACATCGATTTAAGATAAACCTGTGAGATGCTTTACGTCATTTTTCCTCTTCGTATATTTTTTGAAAATAAGCACATTTAACTTTACAAATTAAAAAAAACGCAACTATCTTCCACTTTATTTTTCTTTCTACTACTAACTACAAATTGGTTTTCTTAACTTACTTAACTTGGTACTTATAATTAGGGTTTTTTGAGTATATAGTGGGGTCGATTCTAGAGTGTTATTTCTCTAAATTTATCTCTTACCCTAATATATTAAATTATTAATTTCGCGAAATTACTATTTTATGGGCCACCATAAACTAAATTTATGACTATTCACACCTATTAGAAATTTAGGTCACATTGGACCTTAAACTCTTAAGTATATATGTATATACTATAAAATATATTATACAATATTATCATGCCTATTTGTACAACAATTAGTCCGTTACCCTAAGGTTACCTTGAAAAGATTGCTCTTTCAGTAATAAGACCGCCTTACTGTACTTATGTAACTGTATCGTTACATATATTAATTGTCTGGCTTATTCTCTATATTGTATAATGCAAATAAAGTTTACTGTTTCATTTAATCGTTTTAACTATATATATTTTTTGTATCACTCTTTGGTAAGAACAATAAAGTTTTTCATTCATTCATTCACTCAGAATGATACAAGGATTCTTTAATTTCACGCCCTAAACACGATTTTATATTAAACCATTCATTGCGTAGTAAGCCAATAACATTAGGTACATGTCCACTATAGCTACAAACATTTCCCCCGTCACTAACCCCAACAAAATGTTCACCATCTGAAGCACCCTCACCTACAGCCAGCGATAGATCAGGACCCTCGATATCACTTAATATAATTCAAGGAACCCGGCATTCTTTGAGAGCACGTCGATTACAGTGCGAGCCTTGGGGGACGATAATCGAGGTCTCCCCGCGTTTTTGCACGATGCCTCTCGCTGAGAAATTGTAATTGCCAAACCTGATTTAAGTTGTGTACCTTCATAAAGTCCCTTGGAGGTTTCCTGTTGACGGCTTCTATAAAACTATACTAAAAATATAAATTATTTTTATTCTTTTATAGTTTTGGATATTCATACTCGTATACCCATTTCGAGCTGTATAGCTGTGGAATTCACCTCCCGTGGGTATTCAGATAAGTCCGTCAAGCATTTCCTTCTAGAAAAGATTAAAATCATTCTATCATTTGTTCAAATATAACTGATTAGAAGACTGTCATCATTGTTTTATTCTTCATGTCATCTTTTATTTGATATTTGTATGTTGTATTTAACATATACGTATATGTATTCTTATTTATGTAAGTTTATTAAGTATTAATATTATATCTTTCAAATATAAATATATACGCTATATATATATATATATATATATATATATATATATATATATATATATATAAGTTTAAATAATTTAAGTTTTCCTATTTTTTCAGTCAAAGAATTAAATCTGAGTTATATTGCTCCCAATAATGTCCAAACATAACATCAAATAAATGCAAATATTCAGATGTGAGCGATATGATTGCGAAATAACCATTGAATTGGATAGCGATGCTGTATCGTCGGATAGGCGATTTCCATCGTACGGAATGACGGCCCAATGATGGGTTGTGATCTCATCAGACTCGACACGGTCGAGCAAATATTTGGCCCATGCATATAAATGTTTCTAGCAATATAAATGCTAGTTATTGGATACGTGCGACATGAAACTTAGAATGAAGAAACAGAAAAATATTTATTATGATAATTATTCTTTTAAAAATTAGCTTTTTGAATGTTATTTCGTTCTCGTGGATTAAAAAATAGGAAAGCTAATGAAATGACCATATCTAAATACGGTATTAAGAGAAAACATATATCAGTTTTTAAGTTAAAACTCCAGGAACATAACAGTGAAATACGCATCCAATTTGGTGTTATAATTTTTGCGTTATACTGGGACAAACATACAATCAAACAGACGTACAAAATTTGTGAAAATTATTGTTTGTTTGTTTATAACACTTTATTGTACAGTAAAGTTTTAAATTATAGGATACATAGTATTGTTTTGGTATTGTTA